CCGGTCGTGCGGTTGCCTCCCCCCCCCCTGAACCCCCAGTGCTCACCCAGGAGCAGGCCAGGACAGCAGCTGGAGGTGGCGGGGGGACGGGCCGGCCCCGCTGGGCGAAGGCTGAGGTTAAGCGTTTGTTTCCCAGGCTGGGGAACCAGCATCAAGATAAAGCTAGGGCGCCCGGCTCCTGCTGCGACTATGGGGCTGCCCCTAAAAGGGAGCGAGGAGTAACTGGGGAGGGGCTGGAGCCACCCCCTGGCCGGCTCTGCACCCTGGGGTGCCTGATGGCGGGAAGGGGAAGGGAGGATGGGGAAGGGACAAGCACCACTCCAGCTGCTCGAGGGTTTGCTCTGTATTGGAGTCTGCCGCCGCGCCGGCGTGGCTAGGTCCGGGGCAGGCTGCACATCTCGCAGTGGTCCGTGCCCGGCTGGTTCATGAAGGTGCAGTGCTGGCAGGCCCACATGGCTGCCGACACGGCGTGCGTCGAGCCGCCCATGGCACCGTACTCCTGTAGTCCTGAGATCTGGACACCGACTGTGCCTGCGAGAGAAAGAGCCCAGTCAGAGCAGGGGGGAAGCGCTGGGACCAGGCAGGTCCCTTGCCTAAACCCAGAGCAAGTTTCCTGTCCCAACCCAGGTGGGAGGGTCCCTGCCGAGATGCTGCCCTCACCCCCAAGGCCGGCACCCTGGGGAGGCTCCCAGGTGGTGGCAGATCTCAGCACCCCACAGCTGAGCACTGCAGACCCCGCACTGCGGCCCCAAAGCCCAGCCCCACTCCCCGCTCGGCGCGGCGGGGACTGCTCAGGACCGAGGAACAGCCTTCCTCCCACCCCAGCCTCCAGCAGGCTCCGCGGCAGCTTGAGAGCAGCACCGCGCGGCCACCGGCCAGCTTGGCCCAGCCCTGGCCCGAGGGACAAGGGACCCCCTCCCAGAGGGACCCCCTCTCTTACTGCAGAGCTGCTCGATGGTGGCCCACTGCTCTGATTTTTTCCAGGTCTGTGCGAGCTCCTCATTCTTGGTCCTCACGGCTTCCAGCAACAAGCTGATGCTGTCCTGGAAGCCATAAGAGGGAAATCAGCACTGGACACTCCTCTGGCACCCAGGCTGGAGCTGTGACCAGGGAAGCGCCTCCCTGCTCTCCTCCACCAGCCACAGCAAGACAGAGCCGCGAGTCTGAGCTGCTGCCCCTTTGGGTTGCACCAGTGACGTTCACCAGCAGGGAACAAGACGCAGTTTATCCCTTCTGCTCCCCCCAGCGTTCAGACATACCCCTAAAACTCAAACGCTTCCCTTTCCTCTGCGTGGAGGAGGTTATCACCTAACCAGGCTGCAGCCGACCCACCGCACTGCCCCGTGCGGGAGAGCGTGCCGGCGCTGCGGGGCTGAGCCTGACTCCCGGGGGTGCAAACCCGCCGTGCCGGAGCACGCCGGTGCCCGGCCCCAGCCACGCACGCAGTCCCGGCCTGATCTCCAGCTGCCCAGGGTCAGCCTGGCTGCCCCGCACATGCGCACTCCTCGGCGCCCTCGAAGCCTCTGGCAAACACATGTCCCTTTTCGTTGGCGTGCTGCTTTACACCAGGAAGGTCCGGCGGTGCATGTGAACCACAGGGGCCTGGGCAGCCGCCAAGCTCCCGCTTCCCACCCGTGAGAGGTAGAGCCGCC